ACAAGTTTTCTGAGGAATCTCCATATGCTTTCCATAGTTGCACCAATTTGCAGTCCCACCAGCAATGTATGAGTGTACCTTTCTCCCCATATCTTTCCCAAAATTTATTGTTACTTGTATTCTTTTTTAAAAATGTTTTTTTTAAATTGTCATTGTACCTTTATTTTATTTATTTATATGTAGTGCTAAGAATGAAACCCAGTGCCTCACAAATGCTAGGCAATCGGTCTATCACTGAGCCACAACCCCTACTTGCATAATTTTTTTCAATCTCTTTTTAAAAATTTATATTTTTATATATGACAGCAGTATGCATTACAATTCATATTATGCATATAGAGCACAATTTTTCATATGTTTTTTTGTACCCAAAGTTGAGTCACACCATTGGTGTCTTCATACATGTACTTAGGGTAATGATGACCATCGCATTCCACCATCTTTCCTACTCCCATGCCTTCTCCCTTCCCTTCTGACCCCATTGCCCTATCTACAGTTCATTTAATCTTCCCATGCCCCCCCAACCTCATTATGAATCAGCATCTTTAAATGAGAGAAAACATTTGACATTTTGTCTTTTGGTATTGGCTTACTTAGCATGATATTCTCCAACTCCATCTATTTATCTGCAAATGCCATGATTTTATTCTCTTTTAATGCTGACTACTATTCCATCGTGTGTGTGTGTGTGTGTGTGTGTGTGTGTGTGTGTACACATCACATTTTCTTTATCCATTAATATACTGAAGGGCATCTAGGTTGCCTCTACAGTTTTGTGAATTGTGCTGCTAAACATTAATGTGGCTGTGTCCCTGTAGTATGCTGTTTTTAAGTTCTTTGGGTATAAACTGAGTAGTGGGATAGCTAAGTCAAATAGTGGTTTCATTCTCAGTTTTCCAAGGATTTCCATACTGCTTTCCATATTGGCTGCACCAATTTCCACTCCCACCAGCAATGTATGTGTGTGCCCTTTTCCCCACATACTCACCAACATATATTGTTGTTTGTATTCTTAATAGCTGCCATTCTGATTGGAGTTTGATGGAAGCTCAATATAGTTTTAATTTGCATTTTTCTAATTGTCAGAAGTCTTGAACATTTTTTTCCATATATTTTTTGACCATTTATATACTTCTGTGAAGTGTTTCTTCAGGTTTTTGCCCATTTATTGATTGGGTTATTTTTCTGGTGTTAAGTTTTTTGAGTACTTGGTGTATCCTGGAAATTAATGCCTTAACTGAGATACTGGTGTTAAAGATTTTCTCCTATTCTGTAGGATCTCTGTTCACATTCTTGATTGTTTCCTTTGCTGTATAGAAGCTTTTTAGTTTGCTATCATCCTTTTTATGGACTCTTGATTTTTTATTTCCTGTTCTTTAGGAGTCTTATTTAGCAAATTGTTTCTTAAGCAGACATGTTGGAGAATTGGGCCTACTTTTTATTCTAGTAATAGCAGAGTTTCTGGCCTAATGCCTAGGTCCTTGATCCACTTAGAGCAGACTTTTTGTGCAGCGTAAGTGTGTATATTGATTCTATTGTAGCAAACTATCTCACTAGAACTTTGAGATAAATTAGTTATACATATTTTATTAGAATTTGTGGTTAGATATTACTGTGTGAAACATCCAGTTACTCACTTAGAATATCTTAATATTTGCTACAAATTATAAACATTTTTGTCACATGGTCTGTGTATCCATTGGGATAGCAAAATTTGATAGGGGATTTCTCAACATTTGCCTAAATTAGTTTGGGAGAATATATAACCATGTTTATTTTATTTGTGTCGATGAAAATCCCTCAGTTGTAAAGGAATAAATTTATAGTACAATTGCTTATAAAAATCCATGCATTAAAGGAAAGATGAGAATACTCAGTGGGCATTTTATCTTAGATAATGAGTATCTTGATGTTAACGTATCTTTAATAATAATACAAATGTCTTTATTATTAGCATCATTATCTTCCTAGAAGACACTATTTTATAATGTTTCATTATTATTCTGTCGATTAGAAGTGCCAGTTTAAGCACTTGAATTAATTTGACCCATTGGATTCAAACCTAGTTTCAATATGTTTTTTCATTTGCACAGGGAGACTGAGTACCTCAGGACCTTAGGACAATTGATGCCAAAGCCAATTCTTGATATTTTTGTACTAAAACTTTTTTAAAAAGTCTTCAGTCCATTCTAAGTAATTTAAATTAATTACAGAATTACTATAATAATTTATTTCAAGTTTTGTAAGCATTAGAAATCTACATAGAGTAAAATCATTCTGTTACAAATGACATTTTGGGGGTATTGTGAATTCAGGCGATTTTTAACATGAAGTTTTCAATTCTATACAGATATTTGATGTTTCATTGTTATTCTTTGAACTCTCTATCTAACTCTGTGATTGTGATCCCTGGAGGAATACTTTTTAAAACAAAAAGCCAAAGGCAATAATAGCCACAGTCAATTAGCTACTTATCATGGTAAAAACATGATTGTTTTAGAAAGCATGTCTAGTTAAAGAACTATTTTAAGCTTGCTTTTACTATAGTGATTCTCAAAGCAGCAGTTCTCACTCATGGAATTCTTGTTTGAACCCAGGATTTAAGCCAAGTTGTATAACACAAGGATTCCAAAAGATTCCAAAAGCAAAAGTGTGACTATTGATATTTAGGATGACAAAGTCTAATTTTAAACAATTTGTTCATTTGAAAAGGGGAAAGGATAGACTATATTTTAATGAAAACATGCATAAGTATGAAGTCATGTATTGAGCATTATTTATGCCTAGGTTAGCCAGGAGTCTGTTTACTGAATATTCTTAATATCCTCTTCATGCTATAACATTTTCATCTCATATGTACTTGGATACTTAGTCTCTCATACTGGAGATTGAGGTGTATAAAGAAATTAGGATACTTTTCTTCACTATTTCTGTGGCTTCTAAAATTTGCAAATGCTTCCAGCAGTATTTTCATAGACAGAAGAAATGACTGTTGAAATGTGATTTCTTCATATACAGTTGTCTTAAGAAACTTAGGGTGTCTGAAAGTGGCTTGAAAATTAGAATAACTAAAATGTGAGGATCACATAGGCGAGACACTGTGCCCTTAGAATGATCCTTTGAGGAACATTTGAGTTGATTTTATGTGTCTATGTGTGTAATGCTGTGGATTGAACACAGGCTAGCCTAAAGCTCTACCACTGAGCTATATCCCGAATCCTAGTGGTGGATTTTGAAAGAAATAACATTAAATGTAGTTATTCTTTGAGTAATAGCAGTGACTTTGTGTTGAGTTAGCATGGAAACTATTTGCTACCTCTTATAAAATGATAATTTTCCAGTGTAATTATTATCTAGTCTCCTGAGACTATATATCATTTTTAGATTGGTTAAGTTGGGTAAAGCTTAGTACTATTAAGAATTTAGTTATTTAGGTGACTTATTTTGTCTTTTATTTCTCTGCTTAGTTGTGTGTATTTTACACCATTCAAACAAAGATAATCTTAATAGACTTGCAATACATTCATGCATTTAATGCCATGCTGAGATTCTTTTCCCAGATGCCAATGTTCATGAGTACATTGTCTTTGAAAAAAATTTACTATACTAGTAACTTTCCCCTAAGAGAAAAAAAAAGTTACTTGTAGTATCCTTCACAAGTTTTAGATCATAGTTAAATTTGTTTTTTTTTTAAAAAAATATTTGTTTTAGTTTTTGCATAGTACTTGGGATTGAACCCTACATGATAGGCAATTCACCTAACATGGATCTATACCTCCAGCCTTGAAGTTATATTTTTAACCGTGTAAAGAAATAGCACAATTGTGGCCCTAGGAATCACTTATACAATTGAGCATCTCTCATTTGAGGACAAATGCCTATCAGTGTACTTGATTGAGAAAAAATTGTCCCTTTTACTTTTCTCACATAATTTGATGGTCCCATTAACCACAACACTATTTTTATAATGGAAGCTGTAAACTGCCAATACTTTAGGACAACGATAGTTGAAGAGGTTCTGTACAGGAAAGGTTTATGGATTTGACTTCTTCCTTATTTATTCATGTAAGGTTTTTACATTGTTTTCTGTGCTGGCTTCTTTGGAAGGTGTACTGATAGAGATTATGGATAGGTAAAGCCACTCCTGAGCATTACTACTCCTTACAGTTTTTCAGTTTTTTTAAGTCCCTGTGACCATTTGAATTAAAATGTGACCCGAGGAATTCAAAAGTAAACATTTTGCTGAAACAAAACAAACAGTATTTCAAAAATGGGGAAGGAGACAAGGCTAACTTAATCAAAAGACCATCACTTTGAGGTTCAAAACACACACACACACACACACACACACACACACACACAATGCTACTGTTTTTATTTTATTTATTTATTTTTGAGACAGAGTCTTGCTAAGTTGATGAGGCTGATTTTGAACTTGAAATCCCCCTGTCTCAGCCTTGCTGGTTAATAGGATTACAGGCATGTGCCACAACATCCTGAATTATACCTACTCTTCAAAGTAGACTCAGCTGGAAATTTTTTTATGGCTACCTGTTTATCAATTAAGATACCTTAGGTTCTTTAAAGCATTTTCACTGAATTAAAGAAATTTTTGCATAGTTTAGAAGAAATCTTTATCTTCCTGTTTTCTCACTTAGTCCAAATTAGTGAGATTTTATTATATATTTAATTCCATTGTGCTGTAGGTATCTGGTAAAGGATTAATTAATGTTACACATTAGGTAAGAAGCAGCAATTGATTTTTGTTTCTATTTGGCTTATCTTTTCTGCTTAAGTGCTGATATTTAATTTGTAGGAAAACCTCTAAACAGGTCTATATTTTTATGTTTATCATCTTCCCTGAACTAATGAAATAAACACATTTATTGATTTCGGAATGAGTTTTATTAATGTAGTTAATATGCCTTACTAATGTTATTTCATGTACTTGGATTATAGTACCATTAATGTTTATGAATCAACATTTTTCTTTCAGTTCAAAAAAATACAGAACCTTCAGAAATAAAGAAGAGTATACCTGCAAAGAAGAAACTGAAAGAATTAAGAGTTTTGGATCCGAAAACAGCTCAGAATCTGTGTATGTAGTATCTCCCACTTAGGGGGTGGTTGTGGTGATGGTGAGGGGTTGCCAAATGTATTTAAACAAAGTTGTAAATTTTTTGAACAATATTAGTATAGATGGAAACAAAATTCTGTAGGTGGACATGGTGGCACACACCTTTAATCATAGAGACTTTGGAGGCTGATTGCAAGAGGATCATAAGTTCAGAGCCAGCCTCTGCAAATTATCCAGGCCCTAAACAATTTAGTGAGACACTGTCTCAAAATACAAAATAAAAACAGAAAGGCCTGGGTATGTGTCTCAATGGTTAAGCACTACTGGGATAAATTCCTGGTATAAAAAGAAAGTACTAAACAAATAAAAGTAAAAAAAAAAGGAAAAGAAACAAACTTCTGTGTAATTATGATTTGGGTTGCCTTTTTGTCACTTAGCCACTATAAATAAAAATCACAATTTAGCCTTGTTCTGGAAAGTACTGTTAATAAAACCTTCTTAGTGAATCTTGTCAAACAAGGCAAAGTTTAAAAAAAAGAGTATTAGGTGTTTTTCCCCCCTTTTTGCTTGAGTCTGGAATTTATAATTTTAGAGTATTCACATTGTTCCCATTCTGCAAAAATCCTTTTACTTCTATCCTTTGCATTTGAGTAATTGCAAGGCTAGCTAGTTAAAATTTTAACTGTTGCACTTTAAGAGAGGTTACTGACAATTAGGGATATAGTTCAGTGGTAGAGTTCCTGCCTAGAAAGTGCTGGGCCCTGGGTTATAGCCTCAGCACATCAAAGAAATGACAAAAATGGTAACAAAAAAACAAGAAGAAATGAAGAAAGCCCAGACTGATTACTGAACCTTGAAATCATTACCAAACCTGTCAGCCATTGCTACAGTAGATGGACAGTTAAACTCATTTAAGTAGCCCTTTAAGTTGTATTTTGTTGTACTCCCCCACTGTGTTGAATTCAGAATATTTTTTGTCAGTATAGTAGACTGTTGAGATTCCAAGTGTACTAAAACACTATGCATGAGAAATTTCAACACATCAAGCGTTTCTAATTGCTCAAAGAATACCATGGGAATTTATTTTGTTAAAGAATGTGCTATAGAGAATCAGATTAAAATAAACAACTCATCATTCTTTTGTCAGTAGGAATGTAGCTGTCAAAAAAGCAGTGTACTAATAGCTGTTTTGAATTTGTACATTGCTTACCCGATCATACATTTTCTTTATAAATTTGATGTTCAGTACTTTTTAAAAAAATACAATATGATCTCAATTGCTTGTTGACATCTGTCAGAATTATGTACTTAGATTTTGGAGATCTCCTTTGCTTTTTATGTATAGGTAATCATTTGCGTAGACAGGATTCATTTTTCTTTTAGTACCTAAAAAGTTATATAGACCGTTTCATGAAAAATAAATCCTATAAAACATAATATTGATTTAAAAAGAGAAAATCTTAGGTTCCAGTGATAAGAACACATCTATCTATATTCTTTGAAAATATATTTAATGGGGATTAAATCGAATGTGTTGGAAAATACTTTCTTAGTAATTATAAGCTATTCTAGGTATAATTTGTTGAACTATTCCAACATGACATAAAATTTATGTAATTCAGTCAGTGTTGACAGGTGAAATAATGACTTAATGCATAAAGCAACTAACAGTACACCACATGAGTGTCAGAGGGAATGCAGGGTACTTTGATGACTCAGACACTTGTGTGGGAGAACTGCTAAGTACAGTAGTTCTTCCCTCTCTGCGTGGGATATGTTCCAAGATCTCCCATGGGGGAAAGAACCACTGATAGTACTGAACCCCATATACGCTATGTTTTTTGTTCATATATATTACCTACCTATTATAAAGTTTAATCTGTAAGTTAGGCACAGTAAAATCTCAACTACAATAATAAAATAAAACAATTATAACAATCTGAAATAAGTGTTATGTGAATGTGGTCTCTCTCTCATTTTTCCTTCTTTCTCCAAAAATATCTTATTGGTTCATGCTCACTCTTTTAGTGATTCTGTAAGATGATCCCTAAAGGAAGCACTTTAGAATTTCTCTTTGGCAAATTAAAATTGTCAGAATCACTATTTTTTCAGTTTGGGGCCAATTTTAAGTAAAATAAGGGTTACTTGAACATAAACACTGTGATAACATAATGGTAGATCTTATAACCAAGAAGACTATTAAATGATGAAGGGGCAGGTAGCATATACTTTTTGGATACACTGGAGAAATGGATAATTTATATCACCAGTGAGGCAGAAGTGACACTGTAAAATGTCATTGGGCTTCTCAGAACAGCACATACCTTAAGATTTATAAATTGTTTATATCTGGAACTTTGCTTGTATTATTTTCAGACTGTGGTTCATTGAAAGTAAATAAAAAAACTGTTGTGGGGAATACTATAATATTGATTTGATTTTTTTTAAAAAAATGGATAATTTACTGTCATTCCTGAAAAGTACTGTGTTTTTATGGGTCATTTTATCAGCTCAACTTAACCTGCCTAAAGCATAGTCAAGAGTGTTGTTAAGCCCTGCATGGGGGTGCATGCCTGTGATGCTAGTAGCTTGGGAGGCTGAGGCAGGAGGATTGTGAGTTCAAAGCCAGCCTCAGCAACAGTGAGGCACTAAAGCAACTCAGTGGAGACCCTTTCTCTAAATAAAATGGAAAATAGGTATGGGGATATGGCTCAGTGCTGGAGAGCCCCTGAGTTTAATCCCTGGTACCACACCCCTGCAAAAAAAATGCTCTTAGTATTTGTATTTTTATGTAAATATTCATGATCTATAAACATTAGAGCCTAAGTTAATAGACCATTTTGCCTAGATGGGTAGAAACTTATCTATCAAATGGAAACAACTTTTGATTGTTCATAATTCTGTAAATTGGTATGAATGACAAAAGTTTTAATATTTTGAATCTATAAAATGGAAAGCATATAAACCCTACGGCTTTTACATTTATTGCTGTCCTAATGTTAATAAATTCAACGTTTATTTTAGCTATCTTCCTGGGATCATATCGCATGCCATATGAAGATATTAAAAACAGCATTCTAGAGGTTAATGAAGACATGCTAAGTGAGGCCTTAATTCAGGTAAGTTGAATATCTTCCTTTTAAAATTTATTTTCACAGATATTTCTGGATTTCCATCTTCTCAATTGAGTTGAAATAGAATAATTCTCTGTTTTAATAATAGTATCAGAAGTATGTACCTGTACTGATTAGTAAGAGGAATTATCCCCTACCCTTTAAGACCTGGGTCTTAAATCTTTCTGTTATTTATTGTCTACACATCATTTTAAATATAAGCATATGTGTATGTACGCATATCATTCTCTGTCATTCATTGTACATGAAATTACGTGTGTTTTATCATCGCATTGGACCCATTAAGTAGTTATTATTAGCATGTTATGGATGAAAATCTAAAAAGTCAAGAGGTTAAATAGCTTGCTCAAAATCAATGGATAAGTGGTAGAGTTACCTTTTTATTGGGCTGGGAACTTACATATTTTGGGGATCATGTCAATTGCTCTATGTGTTTATTATCTCATTGAATCCTCAAGTAATTCTGTGAGATCAGCAGCTATCCTTCTTTTACAAAACGGGCAACTGAGGCTTAGAGAAATTGTTGAGTTTCATAATACTCCTTAATTCAGAGTAGTAGACAAGCGATTCAAAACAAGGTCTATCTTGACATGAAATTCATTATATTATTCTGAATAAGTTAAAGCTTTCTATATCTGTTTCCTTATCTGAAAATATAAAGCCCTTGTAAGAATTAAACCAACTAAAGTGCTTTGTAGTATAAAATAGTATGGAAATATAACATATTATTAGAATTCTTGATGTATCTGGGCCTTTCTAGTTTGATTTCTGGGAATAAGTACTTCAAATATTTGTGCAAGGGCATAGACACATGTCCCCCCCCCAACCCTGGGACGGTGTTGTTTGTTGTTGTTGTCTTTTGTTTTTGAGCCATACAGTTTGTTTTTATTTTAAGAGGATATCAAGTAGTTTATGCTACATAACTTAAACAATTTAGCCATAACCCCCTCTCACTCCCTGTAAATCTCAGAGAACCTGTTTTTATAGTTTGAGCAAGCCATGTCTGTATGGAAATTCCTCAATTTGGGTGTGTGGGCCTGCATAATGGTTTACCTCAGGTCCTTTTATCTACCTACCTACCTACCTACCTACCTACTGGTACTAGGGGTGGTTAACTACTGAGCCACATCCCTACCCCTTTTTCTTTATTTTGAGACTCACTAATGTTCTCACTAAGCTGCTTAGGGTGCTACTGAGACTGGCTTTGAACCTGTGATCCTCCTTCCTCAGCTTTCCAAGCTGCTGGGAATACAGATGTGTGCCAACATGGCCCACCAGCTGTTGTTTTAAATTTAGACATTATTTTCTATAGGAGTGAGGGCTAATGAGTATATTTAAGCTCCTTATTACTACAATACACCTACATCTATAAGGGATACATTTTCATAAGAAATAGCTTTGTTGAAACAATGTAGATAAATACACCACACAGACACGCCCCTCCCCAACACACACCATTCCCACCCTGGGGAAACAAGGAAGTTCATAGTTCTCTGAGTTGAAATAGGTAGCTGATTATTTGAGTCCTACATCTCTTAGTTCCAGGATTGTTTGCACAATAATCAGAATGAGCAAGGCATTTGGCTTAAATGTAATTTAATTTTTCCTCTTTTCTTCAATTTGAGGATTTAGTTATAAAATATAATAAGGCCAATAAACTTTTGACTCCTACTCAATAATTGAAGCTTTCAAATCTTCCCTGTATAATCAAATTATACTAAAATAGAACTATATTTTGAAGAAACAACTGACATAGTCATTATTTTATTCACCAAAATAGTATGCCATTTTTTTACATACCTTGGTAAATGTAAAAATTATAAATATGGAGAATGTTGCCATGGTATTTATTTGCCAAGAACATTTAAACAAATCTTTATTATTTTTAAGTCACATTTTCAACTCTTTAGGGAATGTAAGACAGGAACAGAGGTTCACACTTATGAATGTCCCTTACATGCAACAACAAGCTTTTAAAATGTATTTATTACCCAGGATTTTTGTTTACTATTTCACTTTATTTTATATATTTATATATTCACACACACACACACACACACACACACACACACACACTTCTCTTTAAATTGAATAAGCCTGGTCCAGTTGGGAGAAATGGATTTCTTATAGTTTGGAGATAGCAGTAAATTACATCTAAATTCTTGAATTTGCTGGTTTAATCGTGTCTACTCTGCAGTCAAAACTATTGCTTTAAAATCACATTATTATGCTAAAACTTGAATTGTACTCTAAGAAGGTGAGTGAAGGAGAACCAAGTGTAGCTCCTGCCAGGTTACTTTGTACTTCCATATATTTCTTATTTGCTGTGCATGGGTTGACTTGGACCTGTCTCATCTCTTCCTATTTCCTAGACTTCCATTCACTTTTCTAAACTTTTATATTTTCCTCTCCTTCACATTCTTACATGTTACCCATTTCCTTCTTTGCTACACCAATTTTATGCCTTTTATTTATTTCATGCTGTATCCATCAGCTTTTCATTGCTGAGACAAAATACCTGACATGAATACCTTAAAAATTTTAAAAAAGATTTCAGGTTATAATTTAAGAGGTTTCATTCCATCATCCACTGGCTCCATTACTGTGGGCCAGAGGTAAGGCAGAACATCATGGTGGAAAGGCATGGCAGAGAAAAACTGCATATCTCATGGTAGCCAGGAAGCAGAGAGAAGGAGAAGAAGGAGCTGGGAAAAGAAATACCCTTTTAGGGCACACCCATATGACCTCCTTCCTCCAACTAGGTCCTACCTCCTAAATTTTGTATCACCTCCCAATAATATTATTAGCTATGAACCCATGAATGGATGCGGTCAGAGATCTCATGATCCATTCACTGCCCAACAGCCCTACCTGTGAACATGGCTGAATGGGGACCATGCCTTTAACACTTGAGCCCGGTGGGGGACATTTTAGATTCAAACTGTAACATGTGATTTCTGTTTACTAGTATTTTCTTTTAAGAGCCTTATATTTCTTGTCAATGCCACATAGTCTCAATTTTTTTCTCATTCCTTACTCCACTCAATCAGAACTCAGTTTTTTCTTCCACTTACAAGAAGCAAACATTTTAAAATGTAAGATAATATGCATAATCAGAATTTGGCTACTTGGGTAAGAGACAAACATTGTGTAACTCACGTGAGTTATTAAGGTAAACATTGCTATTATCTAGGTGAACCAAACATCTGAGTATCTTCTGATAAGGAAGATGCTCCTAGGTTGAAACAATTCTATGATTTTCCAGTCCCCAATGAAGAGTGCTTCCTTCATGCAGGAAAACAGACTAGAATCACCAGCATCTCTCTCTCCCTCCCATCTCACAAATGTTTGCTTCAGTGATGCAGAAGTAACATTAATTTGCCATTCATATGAGCTGTTTACCATTTATGTCTAATTATCATGTAGCACATCGATAATATGTAGCATTAAATATGTATCATCAGATTAACTTTGTTGTAAGTTCTGTTTGATTACAGTGGTAAACTCCATCCATGCATAATCATCGTTTGTTGCTCATGTAGCATGGTTGTCTCCTCATGACAACAAAAACAACCAAAAACAATTAAAGATACATCATTTCCCAGAGACTTGAATTAACTCCAGTATTTTCTCTGCAAGTGTGGGTCAATAGTCATTTCCTTGCTAGGCAACTAATAGATTTTAGTTATTTTGTAGGATAAATGTCTTAAAAATAATTAAAAAACTACTTTTATTTAATCAACAAGATCAAGGTCAAATGTTATGGTTATTAATAAAAAGACTAATTTCTCCTTATTTCAATATACCTAAACTTCAGTGATAAACTGAATTTATCTGTAGAAGAATTGAAATGTCCTAAACTACTTGCAGTAATACATAGAAACATTTAAAAGAACACCATATCCTGAGGTTGTTGAGGAGATTTTAATATATGCAATTATGAATAAATTCCAAATAATGTGTACTAAATTTAGGAGATCCTTAGCATCATTTTCCAGCTTTGAAAATCTGCTTCAGTGTAATTTCATTTGATCTGTTTAGAGAAAAATTCAAGATAGTTATTACATGTGGTATCAGTGGAAAAAGAAATACTTATAGACACACTTACATATATAACGCTGACAAAGAAATTAATCTACCAGTTTCAATAAAGTGATTCAAGTGTTAAAGGGAAAATATATGTTCTATTAGAGACAATTAGTGCATGTAAATGAATTTTTTTAATACCTGTATTTTATTTATTTATTTTTACATGGTGCTGAGGATCGAACCAAGTGCCATGCACATGCTAGGTGAGCACTCTACTACTGAGCCATAATCACAGCCCCACATAAATGATTCTTAAATGCTCAGGAAATATTGTTTCGGCAGGAACTTTAAGCTCATATTCACAAGGCATGTGTAAAATAAAATATGATCCACAGAGAAACTAGTATATTGTTATTGCAGAATTGTGGACCTATGGAGAGAATTCAGAAGATTCAGAACTTGGATGTGAAAAATATTGCATCTTTATTTTTTTTGCTTCTAATTAATATTTAGTATTTCATTTAATTAAGAATGTAGGCAACAAACCAAAGTAGTATTAGACACTACTTTGACACTAATAGAAATAATAAATATTTTCATATTATATTCCAGTGGTGGCAGATATCTTGAAACATTGTTTACACTCATTACCACTTCAGAATTAAAGTACCTATTAGAGCTGCCACTAGATCTTTTTAATGCTTTAATCATACACATATGTTATTATATCATTACTTATTTTTATAAATACGGTGATAACTGTTTCAATATAAGCAATTTCTGTTATAATCCTATGTACTTTATTTTATTCTGAGAAGAGATCCCAAAGTGAAATAAGTCCATGACACACAAAAACATGTCAGAAACTGGTACAGTGGCTTATGGAGGGGAACTGTGAGAATGGGCTGTAGCTAAGGTGGTCTTCCTGGAAGAAATGCTCTTGAACTGGACTTTGA